AGAGTCAGTGATTTTCGCCTCCTGTGCACGGTCAGCATCAGTGAAGCTGATTGTGTGTTCTCACCGAGAATGCGCAACCTTGATCTTCAACTGCGCATGTTGGCGGGCCTTGGCCAAAAAAAAAAAAAAAAAAAAAAAAAAAAACGCTAATCACTGCGGCAGTAGAGCAGCAGCAACAAACTGTGTACAATCAGTCCAGTAGCCTCACCGTTTGCACTTCATCGCAGATGACAAGTAATGAAAACATTGAAAAGTGCAAAAGTTGAAAAAACAGAGTGCTGGTCACAAACAGGTGAACCGTTTGCTATGGGTAGCCTTATGAACCCACAAGTAATATGTGTGTGTGTGGGGCTGTGGGTGGGTGGGTGTGTATTGGATTTCCACCACACCAGCCCCTATTCCACCCCGATGAGTAGGTCGAAAATCGAAGCAGCTTTTGTCCCATTGCAGAGAACGAAGCACACTTGAGTTGACACATTCCAACAATGAAACAGTTTACAAAACTTATACCTCTATAGCAAGCATCATGGAGCACAATAGTGTGTGTGTGTGTGTGTGTGTGTGTGTGTGTGTGTGTGTGTGTGTGTGAAGGAGAAGGGGGGGGGGAGTGTTTGATTTGCCCAGTCTGTGTGTGTGGGTAGCATGTGTGTGTCTCATGAGTTTCGCACGAGCACGACATGTCATACTCGTGCTACTCCGACCAAAAGCGTCGGCACACTGTGAGCAAAAAAGCAAGACGCGGGAGGCGATCTTTCAACGCGGCGGGGTAAAACCACTCATGTGTCCATTTGTGGTGAGGGTACTTGTTTAAAGGGCCATAAAGTCGAAAGCAGCCAAATATGCGAAGGCAGTAAGACAAAACGAGGGGGGTGGGTGGCGCCTCCTCTTTTTCAGACAGACCAGAACACACACAATAACACCCCACAAACAAACGGAGGGAAGGGGGAAGGCAAAGGACAGCAAGGCAAAGGGCAGGGAACCAACACCATAGTGACAAACCACAACACGACACATGAACTTAAGAGGCACGAGAGGAGGAACAAAGAGCGAGGCAGCACATAGGGTGAAACGCATGGGGGAGGCACATGAACTTAGAGGCATGAGAGGAGGAACAAGCAGTGAGGCAGCACATAGGCTGAAACATATGGGGGAGGCGGGAGGGCATAAGTACAAGTATCGAAAAACAGCGAAGCGGCCAGAAGAATAAAAAACAGCAAAGGACAGGCTGGAGGGTAGAGGGGAGGAGGGTGGGCAAACAAACAGCACAAGGCAAGCAACAAAGACCGAAAAAAATAAAAATAAAAACTGATGATGATAGATCGTTTCGTCGGAGTTGCACCGACTCATCAGGAGGCTGAACCCTCGACAATCTGTGGAATCTCTGTATTTGATGGTTTGGGTCATGAGCCCTTCGACCCTTGTTGAAGGCAGACTGTCCCCAAGCGGAACATAGCAGCAGGCAGCAACCCTGTGGAGCACCAGGCAACACAGTAGAGGCAACACGGCTGCACAACGCCAAAAACGACTGCAAGGAACGGCATGACACACAGGACAAGCAACGCGGCAACCATGTAGTGAAGCACAAGGCAACACAAGCAGGGCAACCACACTGCAAGGGACGGCAGGGCGAGTGGACCAGCAGCTCAGCAACCGTGGAGTGGAGCACAAGGCACCAGCACCAAGGCAACCAACCTACAGGGCACACATGCAGCAAACATGGAAGGCACGACCAGCGGATGAGCAGCACGGCAGCGAAGCAGCGAAGCGCAAGGCAACACCAACAACACGGTCACACCACGCAGCGAACACAGCAATTCGCAAAGAGCCACACGCGAAGCAAGCGGGACAGGCAGCAAGGCAGTGGCGGAGTGCAGACGAGGATGTCCACACATCCAACACGGAGCAAAGCAGCACATGACCTACTCACATCACGGTTGAACCCCGCAGACTGTTGGTTCCCACCACCCACTGAGCCAGTGAGTCACTCCAACGAACATCCACCATCACCTACAGGCAATACAGACATCCCGAACCCCTCATAAGAGTGCAGTATGCACTCCAAACGAGGAACCACCGACTGTTTGGCACTACTTAAGGGTGCTCAGTTGGGGATACAAAAAAATACATAGAAAAAATCAAGGGGAGGACATACAACAGAAGAAAGACTGACAAACATAAAACTGTTTGTGTGTGTGTGTGTGTGTGTGTGTGTGTGTGTGTGTGTGTGCACGTGTGTGTGTGGGTGTGAAGGGGAGGGGGGAGGAGTGTGTGATTTGCCCAGTCTTCTGGACATAAGGAGGCTTTGTGAAACTATTACGGTTTTCTAAGTAATCTGCTGGATGTTTGTTCGGGTTCGGTCTCCTTGTAGCTTGGATAGTGTCCGCCCCCTGTTGTTCGCCCAGGGGATGGTAACCCTTGTGATAAGGCAGCATGAGTCTTTGGAAGGACTTTAAGGACCAACACTGTGCACTGGATGTTTTGTCGGTTTTTTGTCGAAGTTTTATCGTGGTCTTGTCGAGGTTTCGTCAAGGTTTTGTTGAGGTTTGTTGAGGTTTTGTCAAGGTTCTGTCGATGTTTTGTGGACGTTTTGTGGAGCAGGTTTTGTCTAAGTTTTGTTGAGCTTCTGTCGAGGTTTTGTCAAGGTTGTTAGTTTTGCCGACTTAGTGACTTTTGTCACTTTTTTCGCGTCTCTTTTGTTTGTTTGTTTGTTGGTTTGTTTGTTTGTTTGTGTTTTTTTTTTTTTTTTTTTTTTTTTTTTATTCACAGCCATTGGAGGTTTTGTGGTGTTTATGTTGAGGTTTTGTGGTGTTTTTTGTTGTGGTTTTGTCAAAGGTTTTTTGGAGGTTGTTTCCAATTTTTGTTGAGCTTCTGTCGAGGTTTTGTGAAGTCTTTGTCGAGGGTTTGTTGAGCTTTTGTTGGGGGTTTTGTGAAGGCTCTGTCTCGGGTTTGTTGAGGTTAGGTTGGAGGTTTTGTGAAGGCTTTGTCGAGGGTTTGTTGAGGGTTTGTCGAGGGTTTGTTGAGGTTAAGTTGGAGGTTTTGTGAAGGCTTTGTCGAGAGTTTGTTGAGGCTTTGTTGAGGCTTTGTTGAGGGTTTGTCGAGGGTTTGTTGAGGGTTTTGTTAAGCTTTTGTGGACGTTTTATTGAAGTTTTGCTGAGGTTCTGTTGATGCTTTTTGAGGTTCTGTTTGAAGTTTAGTCCATTATGCTGCATGCTCTCTTGTGTGTCAAGTGTTCTGCACTTTTTCAGCGTTTGTCGTTTCTTGGTCTATCTTTTTTTTGTCTGTTCTCTTTTCGTGGATCTCTGGTTTCAATTTTCCTGTCCCTCCATCGTCTTGTACTTTGTTTTTGGCTTCCGGTTTTGTTTTTTCTTTTATTTTGTTGTTGTTACATGACTTTTGATTCTTGTTGGCTCGTTTTTTCTGTTCTTCAGTTCCATTTGTTTTCTTCTGTTGGAGGGTGTATGTGGCATACTCAGATCCCACACGGGCCCTTCGCAGGGCCTGGTCCGTAGGAGTAGGGGTTAGTAGGTTAGATTCGGCCAGTAGGCGCTGGTGCGTCAGGTCGTTAGCGCCAGGCCCCCGGTTAGAGGCCCAGCTAGGCCTACAGTAGGGGATACGGGCCCTGGGCGCTGATTTAGGCCCTGGGTGCATTTCCACCAGGCGGCACAGGCCTTGGGCGCTGTTCGTTTGGGCGCCGTTCGTTTGGGCGCCAGGCCACATTACCGTTCGGGCGCCAGTTTTTGGCGCCAGACTTTTCTTTTGAGCGCCGAGTTTATGTGCCAGGGACTCAGGACACTACCTGAGGCCGAACCAGCACTATATATGGCTGGTCGGCCTCAGCCTTAGGCAGAGGCCAGGGGACTCTGCCTAAGTAGTCGACGATAGCAGTAGGGCACCAGCGCCAGTATAGGGCAGCAGCACACAGAGAGAGAGAGAGAGAGAGAGAGAGAGAGAGAGAGAGAGAGAGAGAGAGAGAGAGAGAGAGAGAGAGAGAGATTGGACTGGCCTATGGCAGAGGCCAGGGGACTTACCTGAGGACTCACTTGTCGGCGCCAGCTCTCTAGCTTTGTCGTCCGTGCGTCTGTACCTGCATCAAGGCAACACCTTTCGCAGGTTAGTACCAG